CCAAAAATAGCTTTCTGAGGTGAATATACCGATGGTCTGGTGTCCTGTACAACCAGTACCTCTTAACACAAGATGAATAAAATTATTTTCTGTATCTCCAGAGGTGGGAAAAACCTCCCAAAAATCCCCCTCACTTATGCTAACCTGTTAAGCAAATACAAAAATGTTGAAGACTTACCATTACCACTTAAACCTAAACTCTACAAAACATTTATTAGCTTGATTGCCTGCAAACCCCAATGATTGAATTTTGCTGCCCTACTTCAATTTGTATTTGTAAAACAAAACTTATGGCAGTCATAGTAAATCATAGTCCCAAACCAATTTTAACAGGTTTTTTCATAGTACAGTTAAAGCTATGAGCAACATACAGTAACTGTTGAAACAGTATTAGGTTGTGGACTGGTTCTACCAGACTCCATCTGCCCCAGTAAACCCACTCTAAACTTTGATGCCGTATTATTTTGTCAATGCACTTATGTCTCAGCAACTGTATCAAAACCCTTTAGTCAAACATTCAGTAACACTACACTTCCATAATCATCTACTCTCTATGTATATTGTTAGAACAAAACTTTTCGTAGTACTACATAAATTGTTTAAAATGCTGTCAAACTACTACAAGTATTTCACTTGGAAAAAAAAGAGTACTGGACTACAAAGTAGTGGGTGTCACTTTTCCAAAAGCATTATTAATGGGGACTATTTTAGTCTTCAGTGATGGGGAACGACAGGCTGTAGCATTTCTTCAAATTAAGAATAGAAAATAACTGTACTTGCAAGAATTCAATTACTCTGCATTAAAGCCGCCATGGGGTTACTGTACATTTATACATCAGAAAGTCAGTAAATTATTTTTCTATAAATTAGTCTCTCAAAGTTGACTTTTTTTCTTTCTGTTCTGAATGCCAAACTCCTGACTGCTTCTCCACCACAGAGACTTCATATCTGGATAGCCGACATCTGTAAAAACATTTCTAATGAAAACACTACTAATACAACCCCCTGGAGAAACAAATGAAATGAGATCTAAGTATGCAGCCGCCTTTCTACAGTTCTGTCTTGAACAATAGCGGGGCTAGTGCTTCCTATCCAAGACTTGACACAGGTCATGATCATTTAGGCACAGTAGTAGCAAAATAAATAACTGTGTAAATATGTAATAACTGGTGTAAATACTTCAGTAGCACTTAAAAGATATGATAAAGGACTTCCGTCTTTAGTTGTGCATTAAGGTTTATCTCAGTGGATGGAAGGGAGGAGCATTTAAATTGCAGTGAAGGAGAACTAAGGATTGAATACTTGAAAGCTCAGTGCCAGACATAACATTGCTTCTTTTTGCAATAGCAGTTTTGAAAGCGTATTAGTATTAGAAGCATTGGATAACTGCTAAAATATTATAGAAACAGTTGTTATAGCTTCACCCCAAAAAACAATGTACTGGAAAGATCAATAATGTACCTATCCATTTAAATAATCCCGATACAAAGCAAAACAGTGCTGTCTTACTTTCAAAATAATCTGTCATTTTTTTTCATAATGCATTCCACTGCTTAAGTAAATAAGCGTTTGCAGACAATTTTTCTGATAAACAGTCTAACAATTAATAGGGGAAAAAAGGTCCATTTCTTTGGAACAGTTCTCAAAATCTTAGCAATGCTCCATATCAAGGTGTATCAACATATTACATCCAGATTTGCTGCCTTACTTTTAAACCTGTACTAAATAATTTGAGGCAACTCTTTGGTAGTAAAGATCGGTAATAGCAAGTCCTCACCACTGTAAGAATAATTAGCAGACACAGAGATAGGAGCGGTTCCTCTGGCTGAAGATTATCACAAAAAAGAATAGTGTTTCTAAACGCCCTCATTTTTAGATGGGCCGATGCTTTTCCTTTAAAGGACTGGATTGGACAAATACAGGATATAATTGAAGTTTCCTTATCCAAAGCCAGCTGCAAGTTCTGGGCCTGAATCATAAGGCAGATGAAAGCTGGAATTGATCTGGCCATAGAACAGCCCACACCACCACTCCCTGCCCCCATTTACTGATTTTTATGGGCATTTGGGTTCACAGAAACATATTGGTAAGAGTACTTGTTTTGAAATAATTCCATCAACTTCCCTAGTGAAATCTGGGTGCACTAAAAATAATAGCAGGAGTTTGCCAGAATGCCAGGAGGGCCTAGCTGCTGCTTCTTTTCCCATCCCCTTTTCTAAGGTATACAGAACCAGGACTGAACCCATAAACACGGGTTTCATTTCCAGCAGTCTTTTTACGCTGGGTAAATTAAAATAAGCTCATTATCTCATGCATCTGTTTAAAACAGCATTTCTTTTGCTATGAAGAGAGATTAAGATAAAAATTTTAAAAGATTTTTGATTAAAAAAAATGGTATTTGGTCTTTCCACTGAATAGCTATAAGCTTTAAAATGGTTTTGAGGCAATAAAAAGGCAAACGGAACCCAACAAAAATTAAAAAAAAAAGTAATATTGAGCTTATCTCTGCTATAGATATCTACTACAAATATAGATTTTTTTTCTAGAGTACTTCAGACTGAAGCATATAGACAAATTGTGCTGGGAAAAAAAAGAAATTGAAACATTAAGCTTAAAGTATCATTCATTTTCTCATTCTAATACTATGAACACGAAGGGTAATGACTATATAACAAACCAAAAATGCTAAATAAGCTTTCCAATAACCACAAAATTCTTACTTCTCACCTTGTAAGCAGTGATCTTTCAAATGACAAAATGGATCGAAATAGCTTTAATTACCAGGCTCATAAATGTTTTTTAAAAAGTGTTCCACTTTTTACTTTACTCAATACTTTGATTTACTAGAAAGAAAACTCACCCAAGTAGTTTCTTTTTAAACCCCAAGCAACATGACTGCTGTTTTCTTTACAAGCCATGGAAGGGACTCAATTAGAAATTAAAAAGTGAAATTAACTTTGAAAGTGAACTTGTCAATTTTATGGATTCAAGCACTGAAGACTGTCATATTACCAGAAACAGTAAACAAGAAAATTTTTGTTCAAATACATAGTCACAAAGTAAACACAAAATCCTTAATACTTAAAATTTGAATTTTATTGAATACAGTAACACACCTGAAAAGTCACAGAATACCAGTTACGAAGATTTAGTCAACACAGTCTTTGTGATCTTTAAGCCTAAGGCACCCTCCAGCGTTTGAAGAAGAGACTACACTTCTAGCAAGTGAGCAAGAAAAACGGCGTGACTACGTCTTCCTGTCAAGATAGAAGTTCCCCGATTAATTTACAATAATAGCATATGATCATGCATCAGTGATATGACAAAGCCATGATGTAAAAAACCTGTAAAATTACTTTTCATGGATTTATATTGGATTTATGAAGGTGTTATTTGCTTTGCTGGTAGAGAGGGATCTCTTTAAGCACACTAACTTGAAAAATACAGTAGAGCGTGTAAAGTATTACAAAAGCATTTCTTACAAAGTCTGGTATTGATAAGTGATAATTCCTCACAGAATATGACCTCTATGTTTATACAGCTTGTTTAAAACTTTTACAAGGAGCTTAAACTAAGAGTTTATTTAACAGGAGATAGGCCCATGGTAGGGAGGAGGAAAAACAATGCACCTAGAGGCAAAGCCAGACACAATATAAAAAAACCCCACATTTTAAAATTAATACCACACAAAACCAGGAAGGCCACATGCATACAGCCATGTCCATGGAAGTTCACTGATTCTATGTAAAAAAAAAAAAAAGGAATTTTTGCATTGGTATCTTTTTTCATTCTAAAAGTAACAAATCCTAAGACGTTTTCAGTACTTGTCATTCAAATAGAGAAACATTTGTGCCTACAGGACAGACAAAAATGTCTATTGAAAGGACAGTGTTTTAAGTTAATGTTATTAGCTAGATCCACACAAATGATTTTAAAATTACTGAAATAGAATGAAGGCTGGAAAGTAAAACTTTTTAAACTATGATTATACACAAACTAACATTTCTTGTGGATCTCTCTTCTGGCATTTAACACCTTGAGACTGCACCCTGTTCATACTTCCACAATCAAACAAAACGTTACATACAATTTTAGTGGTAATGAGATATGCTTTGAAACAGATGTTAAGTAACTACAGAGTGGTTAGGTCTTGATTAAGAAAAACATCTTAGAAAAGCTCTTGTTTTACATATGTGTTCAGAATTTAAAGTGTATAAATTCACTGAATTAGTGCTTCAAGTATCTTTCCTCATTAGGGATGGATGTAAGAATGCATGTATATTTCTGAACCAGGTCTCTACTCTCCTGGGTTCACCCTTATAGGCCTACAGGCAAAACTGCTAGGGCAACAAAGGGCTTTTCATCCTTCACAATCAGGCTAGTTACATGCTAATTGATTCAGTTTCAGTTTTCTAAGGTTTGAGTTCCCCCCGCCCCCCTCAAAACCTTGTCTCTTACTTACTACCGAGCTTAGTTACCTTAACTACAGTTGGAGAAGCAAAAATTGATTGCCTTGTGATTTAGTAAAAAAGTGACATTTGATTGGTGCTGCACTTCGGTTCAGAATTAAGAGTTCTGTCAGGGAAAACAGCTGATGTCACTTTTAAAATAGCTGAAGACATCGTCTTAAAAATTGAAAGAAACTATGACAATATGGACCAAAAATCTTAGAATGAATATTAAAAAATATTACAAACAAACCTAGCTAGGGTGATGCAAAAAGAGGTAGAAGACATTTCAGAAGAAAGTACACAAGATAAATATATTTACATATATATACATATGAGTATAAAAACATTAAAAACCAGCCATTGCCCCATAAAACTTACAATGGTGTTTAACTTCACATGTTCCAAATATTTACATTGACTTCAAGAAAGCTAACAATAGGATGCAAAATTAAGCATGACCTTACATATTTTGCAGAGCAAGTAGTACAGGTTTATAAAAATCACTCACTGTTCAAATTCTGGCTCTTTTTAATAACTTTTTGTATGCTTTTATTTAGTGATGTTCCTTTTTGCAATAGCTTCTCTGATTTGACGATCAAGCTCACTTACAATATGATCCTCATGATTATATACTCCTGTTCTCAACAAGGTATCCCTCTCTTCTATCAGACGAGAAACATAATCATCCATGTTCTCATTTAATTTTCTAGAATGAAGACTATCCACTCTACCAGCAGCATTATCTCTAACATCTTGCAATTGCTTTCTCTCTTCTTCTTGTTGCTTTAGCCTGATGTTGATAAAATGGAAAGAATCAGAAGATGAGCCATATTAAAACCCGGTCTGATTATTTTCATATTAAGTCTTTAAGTTATTTATCTACTGAAGCAGTTAGTAAAGAAATCTATAAAAGGTAACAAATTATCCTCTCTCAGGGAAAAACAACTATAAGTAAAAGAAATGTTACTATAATACTTAAAATTCTAACAATACCTTTTCTATATGCATATGTAACTATAATACTTGCTACCAAGGCTCCTATTTTGACAATGCAAACAGCACTCAAAACGGTTCAACATACAGAACTACTGCACACAGTTTTTGGAGGACAACATTAGATAGATTTAAAATTTTAATGTATTCAAAATATTAATAGTACATGCCTTTTTCTTTTCTTAATGCAGCAGTTATCCTTAGAAGTGAAGGTTTAAAATAGAAAAAAGCCTGGTGCTGTACAACTATGACCATAACATAAAAAACCAGGGTATGGTGGCCTTAAACATAGATTTTCTATGCTGCAGTGCTGTTGCATTTTATAAATATGCAATCTTTACCTAAGGGACACTAAACTGTGTTCTTTCACTGGACTGACAGCCAATTATAATCTTGATTTAACTGAACCTTCTCCTATTTTGAGGCAGACAGCAAGAGAAGAAAGGAGGGGGGCGAGGGGGGGCGGGAAAGGAACCTTACAAATGCTGTTATACCTGTTAAGTTCATTTCTGATATCCTCCAGCTCTTGCCGGTCTGTTTTCCCCAGCTCTTTTTCTTCTGCTGCCAAATAGCGCAACCTCATGTGCTCCAGCTCTTGTTGCTGCTTTTTAAGGTGAGCCATTGCATTTTCTTGTTCACGCTAATGTGGGAAGGGGTGAAGACATAATTCATTTGACTATGTGATTACATGTAAAACTGCTAATTATAGCGACATGAGCAAAACTTCAGGAATGAAGTCATGACAATTAAGTCTCCAGCAGTATTAGAAATGCAGGAGTTATATAGAGTATCTTAGCTCTTGATATCTGTAATGCAGTAAGACCAGTTCACAATTGCAGTAAACTTGTCCAGGCTGGATCAGCTGAAGCCTAATCACAGATATCTTTGCACTAACAAAATAGCAAAAGTTTTACAAACCCTTTTACAAACTCTGGCTTAAGCTGGTAAACGTAAAACTTACACTTGTGGAACTGCTCAAGAGACCGAGATTAATTCCTTTGCTACATGATATTTTACCTTTTTTTGAGAAATAAAACCCAGAAAAATGCTAAATAGCTGCAGGAAACTTCCATCATCAGCCCCATAGTGCCTAGTGTCAAAGCTTCAAGAACTACTTTTTGAAAGTGGAATTTGTGGTTAAAAAAAATAAGCCTTGAAAACAAAACTCTGGTGAGGTTGCCTTTCACATTTGTCTAGCTCTATGCAAAACCTTAGATAACTTATCTTGTGGATTAATCTATCCATTCTAAAACTTTACTTGGTTTTTTTTTTTTTAAGCTCTACAGACATTATAACAAAACCAGGGTTTGATTCCACTACCACTTTGTGACTGTCTTAATGAAAAGTATGGTCCTTTCTCCACTTGTTTTCCTCCCAGTCATTTTCCATTTGACCTTGTACACTAACTCAACACAGTCAGTCTTACACTCTGAATGAGACAGAAGACCTGAGGTAAAATGACATTTCTTCCTGTAGTTAAAAATAAGGCAGAAGGTTACACAAACATCCTGGATCTAGACATACTGTGAAGTGCAAGTTTACCTTTGTAATTTTGACATTGCTTTCATCTAAAATATTTGATTGTTAATACGATCCGTTTTATATTTATTATAGGGGTAAAAAAAGATAATTTTGTTTGATGTGTGAGTGTATTCATTACACAGTCAACCTAACAATATTTGGAAGAGTCTAGTCAGGCAGTTTCCTCAATCTCAGTTCCCAGCATCTTAAGCACTCCCTGTTGATGAACAGTAAGTTAGAAGAAAATCTTAATTTCACAAGGAATTGGTATAAACAAAGACTCTAACTGTTAATGTGAACAGGCAATGCAACAGAAAAATACCTGACAAGAAATCATAGCATGTATGTAACCCCAAAATACTTCATTTTTATACTAAATCCAGTACACCAGCCAGGCAAATTAAATACTAGAACTGCAGAGAGACAGGCCAAAAAGCCTGAAGAACAACTTGTTAAAGGGATAATATTAATAAAACCAGAAGCAGGAGTCCTGCCAAAGAGTCTACCGCTGATAGATGATTGAAGTATAAAAAAGGCACTCGGAGAAGATAGGGCCATAGTCCTTCCTTCCCCAACAAGAGGTCATTGCAGAAGAACATTCTCATCTGAGAGGCACCCTTTTTTACACGAGACAGGTTTGAAGAATGGTCTCAGACTGAAGTAGAATAGGTTTTAGAACAGTAATCTACAAACACATATAGCAAATATTAATAACTCACTACAGCCAGTTGATATTTATTCAAGAGTTTGAGAGTTCTAGGGAAACTCAAACACAAAGTCGCAAGACTAACCAGAGGTGTAATCTGTCACTAAAATTGGTGTTGACAACATAGGAATAATTATTTCCCAATTTTTATTTATTCTTTCTTTAAACAGAGGCCTTAGGAATATCCAGGAACTACCAGCAGGACTTATTCCACAGGAGCCACATTGGTTGAAACCATAACAAAAACCAAAACTAACAGGATGCATGGGTACACCAGGAAGAATGAATACAGCTTTTGTAGAAAAGCTTACCCCCATCCCCCGCCCCAAGCAACAAAACACTACACCAAAGAAACCACCTACAAACAAGCACAAAACTAAGCTGTCAGGGAGAAAGTCCTCTCAGATTATTCAGGGTTTAGAAGACTAGAGAAAGGATAGCAACCGATCATTTCCACAATAGCAAGAAAGTAACTGGACTCCACAAAAATCTACTCTGACTTCCTCATTCATGAATATGTAATTCTGGAATAAACAGTTTGCTGCCGATATAAAATTATTCAGTGGGGAAAAAGTGGATGTGAAAGAGTAGGATATTATGGGGAGAAAAATATGAATTAGTTTGAAAAGGAAACAGATAAATTAAGAATACATTCACTGATGTTTGTTAAACACAACAGCCTGAATGCGACTGGTGGCTCATGATGTACTTAACTAATTGACTGAGGGCAGCTGGAGGATATTCAAAGATGTTCAAGCCGGGTTTCTAGATCTTGTGCATCTACTGCTGGCTGCTGTATGGGCTAGATTGATATTTCAGTTGGCCAGTTTGGCTTTTTCCAACCAATGAAAAGCACCAGCTGAAAGTCAAATTCCAATAGTGATATGATTCCAGTTATTAAAACAGTGGAAATTAATCACTTAACACAATATACCAAACATGTTAGGAGCTTCTTAATCACAGAATGTTTTGAATTAAGATAGACATTTGTAGTTTAAAAAATGCTACAGATCAAGCATTACTGTTGAAGTATTTAACAAAGATAAGACAGAGGGTGGCTTTTTTTTTAAATAAAATCCCAGCAAATATCACAATGGTATTCTCTGGTTTCCAAATACCTGTACAGGCAACAGCATCCAGACAGTAAAGCCAAATTTCAAGTATACAATGGGCTGCAAGGAGGAATGGAATTATCTTAACTATTTTGATAGTTGGACTTAATCTTGAGTTGTTTACTTTGCTAAACACAGGTTGTAAGATAAAATGCCGACCATGATCTAGTCACAAATAGGTTGGTATAAAACCAGTACAACTTGAAGTACAAGTAAATAAATGGACAGCAAATCTGATTTCAATTACCCAAAATCTAGAAGTATGAGGACAGGCTAATATTTACTTCTTTTCGAGACCATCACTATTATTGGTGCTCTCATTAGATCTCCTAATTTAAATCCTTTCCAAAATGAAGAAAGTTAAAATATTGCTGTGTTTCAGGGAAAAAAAAAGTTGAGATTAATACCTTAAGGCAAACATGAGACCTAAAATTTCAAGTATATTAAATTTCCTTTGTAAAGTTCTATTTAGCCTCAGGAGACGAGTTGTTGCCTTGCACATGTACAACAAGTCTAGAAATTTCTACTTGTCTGTCCCTATAGGTAAAGAATCCAGTAATTCAGTCTGGTGACCAGCTACTTTTCCTGATTTTCTGTCTACAGAAACTTGCTATAAATATCCATTAGTAGATACAGTACAGCCTGCATACCCAAGTTCTGTTTTTCGAATTGATTTTTCTAGTACAACCTGGTTTTCCGGCTGACATTATCTAAGAGTGGTAAGAGTCTGGGAGGTCACACAATAAATTATATAAGAACAAACTGCCTCATCTGTAGGAAAAAACCCCTCATTACTGTGGAGGATGAGGCTGACATCCTCCTCTTAGATGATGTCAAAAAATCTAAGCCTTTTACAGAAGAGACGACTTCTAACTGCCATTATCTTCATTCCAGCCTTTCTACCTATGCTGATTTGTAGATATGATTAGCTTCAGTCCAATGCATTGTTGCAGATGGTGAGGAAAGGATTAACTTGGGAAAAAAAAAAATCTCCTTGCTCTGCAGTTCAGTTTATTCATGCTCTAATTGTCCCATTTTAAACTAGGACTACTGTCATGGGAAGCTGGAGTATTAGTGTAAGTCTGTCAAGTATCTCGGTAATTCTATGAGGGAATTTTTTTTGAAGGTATGTTGGGCAAACATCACCTGAAAACTAAATACTGGAAAACTAATGCAAAACAGAGTAGCATTTATTACCAGGACAGCAAGACTTTAACATGCCAGCAGAAAACATCCCTGCCTACCAATGAAACAAGATTATAATCAGACACATAATACACAGAAATCAAATAGCTGTGACTACACTGAATAGAAGTCATCTAATCCAGTCCTTCAGTTTGTGGAGTGTATTACTCAGACCTATAAGGAAAGATTTTGAAAGCGTTCTTACAGTTGCAGCTTGAGAGGGAAAACATAACTGTGTGCTGGCCATAAGAAGCACGTGGGAGTGTAAGTTTCATGACAAGTTGATACATTACTATTTGAGGCAGGAAAGTTCAATGATCCAGAGGTTTCTGCTGTTCAGCAACATGCTCACAATGGCAAACTGATAGCAAAAAAGGCATTCTAAACAAACTCAGAGAAAAAGTATATATTAGAAGAAGTACCAATACCAAAGGTTAACAGAACAAAGTCCAAAGCTCAGTCAGGCCAGGAAGAAGAATGAATATTCCTAATACTTTCCTATTGATCAGAAGGGATCTCATTTAATACCTTGGTCCCTTATGCCCTCACTGAACTAGTTAGTTTCAGAACCATAAGTTTTTTTGATTAAGAAACATCTTTACTGATATTTAATAAAACCAATATAAGGACAAAAGAGAGAATGATGCAAAAGCCAAGGAGACATGTAGGAAAAGCAAGGCTTTCCTGAGGACTCCTTTGTTCAGTTCCTGTTCCTTTTGATGTTTTTCTCTGGGAAAAATGTCTATGAAAAAAAATTAAAAAAAAAATCTGTGTCACTAGTGAGCATGCTCGTTGCTTAGGATAATATTCCTAGATTTATAGGGAAGTAAGTTTGAATATAGAGTGCTAAATTCTCCTTTTCTCCATAGAGGAGAAAAACTTACCAGCACGTTTTGTCTCTGAGTTAATGTTGGGTATGACTTCCTTTCAGATAAGTGCAATTAAAAATTTAATTTGATTACTAATACAATTGTGATGTAAACAGGACAAATATTGTGCATTTCCTTGTTCGGGAGGGGTGAGGGAAAAGACGAGATTAATTTTAGTCCTGTAACAGTGAAAGTCAAAAATTTCTGTAGCGTGCCATGCCATGACCCTGAATAATGACATTTGAAC